TTTGTTTCTTAAAAGCAGCTTTTCGCTTCACAAGACATTAATTGATGGACTGGAGTGGTGTGGATTATTTGGGGAATTTGTTTTTTGCAAACATGTAGCTTTTCACTTCAAGAGGTTAATCTGTGGATTACTGTGATGTTTTTATCAGCTCTCATTCTGACGGCACCCATTCACTGCAGAGGATCCATTGGTGAGCAAGTGATGCAATGCTACATTTCTCCAAATCTGTTCTGATGAAGAAACAAACTCATCTACATCTTGAATAAATATTCTACAAATTTTCATTTTGGGGTGAACGATTCCTTTAAGATGAATGTGAATGCTGATGGATAGCTTTCTCCTGGTATTATACAACTCCTTGTGTGGTTGAATATATAGGAAACAGATCAAAAGTCACTAAGGAGGGAGTAGAAAAACAAACATCTAAAACTTATGCATCAGCCCCAAAAACGTGATCTAATCATCTAATAGCAGCAATCATCCACAGTGCTATACTGAACCTAAAATGGTCACAAATAAAATCAGTCCATTTTAATTAGTCAACTATTTTTCACCTTTACTCTGTTTATTGGTGCTATAATGACAAAAAAAAACTGCTCTCCAAAAAAAATCTGCTCTCTGTCAAAGTTTGTTAAATATCATCAGAATCGTGCATGAACAATATACAAATAAAATTAAAGTTTCTGGAGGACAAACAAAGCTTTATGTCTGCAGAAAACAAATCAGTGCATGCCAACACCAAAACCTCACTGGAACGTGGGGTTTAACGGAGAGGGAATATGTACATCACATAGCAACCATTTCCACAGAACCACTGAATTCTGCCAGTAATATATATATATGACCCTGGACCACAAAGCCAGTCTTAAGTGTCAATTTTTCAAAATTGAGATTTAAAACAATCGGAAACTGAATAAATAATATTTCCACTATTTGAAAATCTGGAATCTGAGGGTGCAAAAAAAACTCACCTTTAAATTTGTCCAAATTAAGTTCTTAGCAATGCATATTACTAATCAAAAATTAAGTTTTTATATATTTACGGTAGGAAATTTACAAAATATCTTCATGGAACATGATCTTTACTTAATATCCTAATGATTTTTGGCATAAAAGAAAAATCTATAATTTTGACCCATACAATGTATTTTTGGCTATTGCTACAAATATACCCCAGCGACTTAAGACTGCTTTTGTGCTCCAGGGTCACATATATCCTAACTACAAGACTAAAACTGAAACTACAATAATAATAATAGAAAAAAATATCATTCAATATTCATTCAGGGAATGTGTGAACTTATTCAATTCACAACTTTAATGCAATGCAAGTCACTTTGTAAAAAAAAAAAAAAAAGTCACTTTGGTAAAATAAAATAAAATAAAAAATTATAAAAAGATATAAAAACTGAATTAAAATTAACAAAGCCATTGAAGAAACTTGAACATAGTATTAAAAATAAAAACCAAAAAAGGCAAAACTAAAATAACCTTGCCAATGCATATCTGAAGGAATATCTGACAGATTATGCATTCAAAATCACATGACTCCTTCAAAATATTCAGCTGCATTTCAATGAGGATGAGATGGAAAGATTGCCCACAGTAAATTTTATTTGATTTTTCTCAGTATCTGAGGAGAGATATTCATCCTGTGGTTTACTCAAAAATGTTGAGGGTGTCCACAAATGATGAAAAGAGGCTGTGTTTGCTGTATGTGTCTAGCGCCTTCTAGTGGAGAAACACACAAAGTGAAACACTTACTGTGAGCAAATTTACGTTATTAGAGCATTTGAGGACACATGCATGATTCAGTAAGCATGCATTTATATTGCACAGTGGTGAAGCAGTTGAACTCCCTATAATATGCAAAGACAATTTAAAAATAACTTGCATTAAATGTGCAGCAAGCAATTTTGGGATAATACCATGCATAAAATGCTGATCTATCTGACAGATATCATTGAATGGAGAAATCGGAGAAATCAAATCAGTCTCTGTGACAGCACTAGCCTAAGTAAACAGCAAAAAGAGTCTCCCGCCCAATCCGCCCAATCAGAAATACTCTTTGCCTCTGATTGAATTTGCAGTCTTCAATTGCAATTAAAAGAATAGTTCACCTAAAAATTAAAATTTGCTGAAAATGCACTCATTCTCAGGGCATCCAAGATGTAGAGGAGTTTGTTTCTTCATCAGAACAGATTTGGAGAAATGTAGCATTACATCACTTGCTCACCAATGGATGCTCTGCAGTGAATGGGTGCCGTCAGAATGAGAGTCCAAACAGCTGATAAAAACATCACAATAATCCACAGATTAACCTCTTGAAGTGAAAAGCTACATGTTTGCAAAAAACAAATTCATCAAGATGTTTTTGACTTCAAACAAGCCCTCTATCCATAATATTGTTTACTCCAGTGAAAAAGTCATCTTGTCTGAATCAAGAGAGAAATATGCAGAGATCAAGAACTGTTTACAAACAAAAAGTGTCCAAAACAGTTCTAAACAAATATGACGGTAGATTTTGATGTGAGAGACAACAGGAGATGGATCTTTTTAACTGGAGGAAATGGTACTATGGATTATATTTTGGCCAGAAGTGACGGTTTAAAGTTAAAATGCCTTAATGATAGATTTGTTTCTTAAAAACATGCAGCTTTTCGCTTCACAAGACATTAATTGATGGACTGGAGTGGTGTGGATTATTTGGGGAATTTGTTTTTTGCAAACATGTAGCTTTTCACTTCAAGAGGTTAATCTGTGGATTACTGTGATGTTTTTATCAGCTCTCATTCTGACGGCACCCATTCACTGCAGAGGATCCATTGGTGAGCAAGTGATGCAATGCTACATTTCTCCAAATCTGTTCTGATGAAGAAACAAACTCATCTACATCTTGAATAAATATTCTACAAATTTTCATTTTGGGGTGAACGATTCCTTTAAGATGAATGTGAATGCTGATGGATAGCTTTCTCCTGGTATTATACAACTCCTTGTGTGGTTGAATATATAGGAAACAGATCAAAAGTCACTAAGGAGGGAGTAGAAAAACAAACATCTAAAACTTATGCATCAGCCCCAAAAACGTGATCTAATCATCTAATAGCAGCAATCATCCACAGTGCTATACTGAACCTAAAATGGTCACAAATAAAATCAGTCCATTTTAATTAGTCAACTATTTTTCACCTTTACTCTGTTTATTGGTGCTATAATGACAAAAAAAAACTGCTCTCCAAAAAAAATCTGCTCTCTGTCAAAGTTTGTTAAATATCATCAGAATCGTGCATGAACAATATACAAATAAAATTAAAGTTTCTGGAGGACAAACAAAGCTTTATGTCTGCAGAAAACAAATCAGTGCATGCCAACACCAAAACCTCACTGGAACGTGGGGTTTAACGGAGAGGGAATATGTACATCACATAGCAACCATTTCCACAGAACCACTGAATTCTGCCAGTAAATTTGGCAGCAGAATGTCAAAACATCTGTCTGTGATCAAATTCCCAAAAAAAACAAGGTTGATGCAACATGACTATGATATTTAACATTAACAGAGTGAGTTTCCATGTCTGAGAGGGCCAAGTCAAAGTCTGAGATCGAAACAAGCACAGCTAAATCTATACAAACCATTTGGTTTAAAGGAATCATCTTTACTTGAACATTACAGTGTAACATCTGTATATGATTCTCCCTCAACATTGACTTGAATGTCTATCACATATTTATGTTCACGGAATCCTTTGACATTCTGATCATGCAAGCACTCGTTTTTGTTCTATTAAAAAAATAATGAAAAGCCAACTTTTGCAATTATGTTCTCATAGAAAGTTCATTAGCTTGATTTTCAACTGTTTGTTCAAACTTCGAATGCAAATTGTCATAAACAATCAGCGGTCCGTTTGAAACCTCACAGCTGATTAAAGTTACCGCTGACTCGCTCTCGCCTCAAATACTAATGAGGCGTCTGTACGCGCATCAATGTTCCCTGCAGAGAAATATTCAAAGAGAATGCATTCAGCACTACACTGTTGTGTAGCACTGTATGTTTTTCCTTGAAGTCCACTTAAAATGCTTCTTAAAATCAATTAAATAGTCATAATTTACATTTACCCTTGTGTGTTTTTGCTACCTTGCCTCACGAGCATCGCTGTGAATTCTTGACATTGCAAGAAATTATTACGATTATTCAGCAAAAATGCATTAAAATTATCAAAAGTGATAGTGAAGACTTTTATGTTACAACACATTTCCATTTAAAATAAATCCTTTTGAACTTTCTATTCATCAAAGAATCCTGAATAAAAATGCATCATGGTTTCCACAACAATATGAAGCAGCACGACTATTTTGAACACTGATAATAATAAAAAAATCTGCAAATCAGAATGATTTCTGAAGGATCATGTGACACTGAAGACTGGAGGAATGATGCTGATATATTTTAAAATATATTCAAATAGAAAACATCTATTTGAAATTGTAATATTTCACAATATCCCATTTTTACTGTATTTTTGATCAAATAAATGCAGCTTTGGAGAGCGAAAGAGACTCCTTTTAAAAGAACATGATTTTTTTTTATTATAAGGAATCTACAACATATTATTATATAGTAGTATAGTATATATAAAATTGTATTGTCATTCCGCTTTTAATTCAATATATCATCATATAATAACATAGTCATTTTCATTTTAATTCAATTAACTTTGCAAGTTCAAGTCCCAATATGACAAAACACATGTTGTAAGCACCAAAAATATGAATTGCCAGGAATTCAACCAGACTGAGATGGAAATGTGTTGGCTCAGCTCTTCCAAACTGCTGTGTCTGACTCTATGACTAAAGCTAAGCCTGACATTTATCTTATCCATCGCCCAGCCGTAAGAACTTGTGCTGCGGACAATGTTGCGCTGCGATTCTGAAGCGAGAGAAGCCCGATAATTCCCTGTTCCCCAGTGATCCACCAGTATTGAGTGTCTGTCTCTCACCTGTCATTGAGTTCTCAGATGTGCTCAGCTGTTCCCTCAGTTTGTCCACGTCATCCGGATGGACCTGCTCAAAGAGCGTGCTGCCAAACCACTCGGACTGCAGCTGGTTCAGAACGGGAGTGACAGAATCTGACACGTAGATAACGCGACCCGTCTCGGCCGCCACCACGAACAGGAAGCCGTCAGCCGCCTCCAGAATCAAGTGCTTCAGTTCCTGTGACAGTTTCAAATGATGCTTAAAGGACTTTCAAAAGTGTTTTTTATACACATTTTGCATATGTTTAGGTATGAAATATCGTACATATAGCATAAAAATATAGTATATTTTGGGTATTTTAATAGCAATATTAACCCTGTAAAGCCTGGCATAAGAAATAATAGTCTGAAAAATCATGTGTTTTTTGTTGAGTATAATATTTGATGCATCAGGATTTTATGGCTCATATAGTATGATATAGAGAGAATATGAAGCTCATATTTGAGGAGGAACAAACACCTAATTGTATTCATAAATGAGCAAAAATATGCGATTTGGTGCAGCTGTTGATATTTATATGGCCAAAAAATAAGATATGATTCTGATAGCTTGTAATGTAAATCAATGAGATCTTTATAACAGTATAACAGACTACTTACATAAAATGCATATAAATATCAATTGTCTTAGCAAGGTAATATTTAAATGCTTAGTTTTATGAACAAAGCTCTGTAGTTTCAGAACATATAATGCAATGCAATACAGTGATGATTGAGAGACGAACAAATAAGCCTTCCTCAAGCCTGATGATCATATTTGATACTTAAAATTTACCATGATTTTTTCTTAAAAAAAAAATAAAAAATAATAATAACCTGTCTAGTGAGTGTTTTACAATTATTCTAAAAGACCTTTTAATTGCTAAAAAAATAAAATAAAATAAAATAAGTATAAACTATCAATCAGAAAACAGAAGGCATCTAGTAGGTTGAGAACAACAGGTTTTTCAAGTTTTGATAATGTTGATCATTTAGAGGCCTCCGAAATGTGCATATGTGAACCTTGACCACAAAACCAGTCATAACGAGAACAACAGGTTTTTCAAGTTTTGATAATGTTGATCATTTAGAGGCCTCCGAAATGTGCATATGTGACCCTTGACCACAAAACCAGTCATAACGGTCAATTTTTCTAAATTGAGATGTATGCATAAAAACAATACTGCTTTAAATTGTTGTTTTTCCAAAAAAAAACAATTTTTTTAAAGTTTTCCGTTTCAGGTAATTGTATTTTTGTTTTTGTTTTTCTGAGCAAAAAAATAAATATCATACATTTCCCCCTGATTTACAGAAGACACCCACTAAAATATCATTCAGTGTAACAATCTTGTCAGGCATATTTACAACAAAAATCAATTTATGACATATTAAAAGACATTTTTGGCTATTGCTACAAATATACCCCAGCGACTTAAGACTGGTTTTGTGCTTCAGGGTCACATAATATGATACAGTAGGCTTTATAGGGTGAATAAATGCCAATGTATGATTGTAAGGCCATTTTTGTCCTTTGTTGTTTTGTCGAATGTTTCAGGCGAGTGATTTCTCACCTGTTCAGTCAGGAAGGAGGGTTTGTAAGCGCCGTCAGTTGACTTGTTCCCCGTTCCCCTCATGGACTTCATGTGTGAGACGGCCATGCGCAGGATGGTGAGCTTGTCTGGTTTCCTCGCTAGCGCGCTGCAGGTGGGCACCATGTCCGACAGCTCTGTGATGTACAGGGTCATCTTGTTACGCCGGCGACGCTCAATCTCACTGTGGTTCTCTCTGGATGGAGAGAGGAACAATATTGCATTATCATTAGCATATAATGAAAGTCGCACAGCACTTTTACAACTACAGGACCACAGGTAGTGGATAATTACCATTAAAGATATCAATTTCGTTTTGTTAAATTATATTAAAATAATAATAATTTATTGTATATTATTTTATAATGCATAATATAATAATTATTATTTATTTAAGTTATTATTGTTTTAATATATGTAATATTAGTATTATAACAAAATAAAAGTTATAGTCAATTTTTACATAACTATAAGTGTTACACTGAATGACAATGTAACATTATTCCAACCCAATTTTGACATTTTATTCTCCAAAAACTTATTTGAAACCTTAAAAGTAGACATTTTACTTGCATTTAAAGTGCTTTCTATGGACATAAAATCCCTTTTGTAAATTTCTTTTGATGCGGACATCTTAATGTCTTTGACCCACATCCATATATATATATATATATATATATATATACACACAGGTCCTTGAACAACTCTGGTTTTTATTTTATACAGTGTACAAAAAATAAAAAATTTGTGTGTGTGTGCATATTTTTGAGATCCTTCTTTCACTTGTATTACTGCAATTGTGAAATCTCAATAATTGACACCTACCTATGTCTGCCCTCACATACTTATACGTATTCGATGTTGACCTTGATTGATAAATACATGATTATTCATTACTGCAAAGGAGGCATTCAGGACTTTCATTATACAGAAATAAGTTTATGTGGCTCATGCATCCTTGGACTGATCTACTACAACACTTCTTCAACTGAAACATTCAGTTAAAAAAAGTGCCAGAGAGGATGATAATTTAAGACTTTATTACTTCATTTCTGTGATTTAGCAGAGTCTCCGGTGATAAACGGAACGCTGATAGATGAGTACCAATCTTTTAAGCAGAAAATGCTAAACGATAAATCTTCGGAGGTCAGGCCGCTGTATTAGTCCACGGAGCACAATGGTTCAAAGCAATGCAACAATTTCAGATAAGAGTGTCAGCGGAGGATAATTAAACACCCATCTAAGATTAGATCTAGATAGAGTCGCTCGTGTGAGGCCAGGGTGAGAGAATGAGGTCGGTCCTGACCATAGCGGCGACAGGGGCCTGATTTCTAGCTATCCTGAGGGAACCTCCCCAAGACAGCCCTACCTGGCATATCGCTCCTTATCACCGGGAATCTGATCATCGTCATACCTGACGGGAGAGAGAAGAGATCAAAATAAGATAAATCAGCCTGAAAATGTCTGTTACATCACTTTTAGGTCTTATGATTGCAGCTCAAATGAAGTGATCATGAGTCACGTTTATTATGCTGCATGGTTTGGATTACAGATAGTGTGTGAATATGGTAATATAATAATGGACTGAGAGCACTGGATAATGAAAAACAACAAAAAAAGCCAAACTGAACAATCTGAGGTGTCTGTATCCCAGGATATAAACTCACTTTGGGCAAAACTACTTCAAAAAAGTGCCTCCAAGAAATATTTGGACACTTCAGTTGGGTTTTACTGTAGTTTCACTGAGATGTTATTATTGTTATTGTTATCCAGCGTTATAAGCTATTAATATGATTTATGTTTTAATATTTTTCAGTTTTTATTTTTGTATTTTCAGTTTTTATTTAAATTTAGTTAAAATAAGTTTTAGTTTTAATAATTTAGTTATGTGTTTTTGTCATCTTTATTAGTTATATTTTATTTTAATATGTCTATATAGTTATGATTCAATTTTTTTCAATTTATGAAGTTAATCTGATGGCACAAAAAGTTAAACAGATATGCGAAAATGAGATATGTTGCCTTTGCAAATAGTTGTTTGGCACAACTTATTTATTTTTATGGGTTTAGTTTTAAATTACTTTAACAGCTCATTATATACAAACATTGACATTGCATGATATTATAAAATATCAAAACAAAGAGATATAAAAAAAAATGTCTTTTACATTTGTGACAACAGACATAAAAAGCCAGTACATCAATATATATGGCTATCGTATAATGTTTAGCAGGCAAGTTCATTAACAAATTAAAATGATCTCATCATTTAATCACCCTCATGATGTTCCAAGCCCATATGCGGTTGTTTATTTTTTATGAGATTTGATGATATTTTAAAGCTTTTGGTCACTGACGATTTCAGTCATAAAGTCCTACAAATATAGTGCATTGTTCTGGATTGTTTAGAAGAAAGCAATGCTTTATCTTTGGAGCTAAACTATCATTGTGTACATTGCAAAAATCATTGTTTTGAAGCTGTAAATAAAACAAAGATTATTGAAGTACACTTGACGGGAAAATACTATTTCAGTCTTTCAAATTTTCAATTTCATGTTTAATTCAATGCCATTTCTTTGTAATTGGTTATAAAGTCTACTAGCAATTTCTGGGTGAATATTGTTTCAAAAGTAAATCCTACACATTTTCAGTGTATCATTCTGTGTTGCATGGAAAGAAGCAGCAACAACATGATGTTTAATTAACAACAGCAATTTCTTTTTTTAGTGAGCAATCGCTGGAGTGTGTCCTGTCTCTCCAGCAGGGGTCAGTGTCTCCATTCCAATGCTACAGCTAACAATGAAGCGTTGGGTCAGGCTCAGCGTAACTATGGATACAGCTCCTTTAAAAGGATATGAACTGAAAGGAAACCATAAGTTGAGAGCAACAAAACATGAGCGATGTCTTGAAATGGCACAAATGCTGTGGCACAGCTGAAAGACACGGTCAAACAATAGAAAATATAAAAGAAAAGACATGATGCATGCTCTGATTTGATTGTTTGGAAAGCTTGCAAACAATGGAAAAAGTTTGCCTTGAAAATTTGCTGGGTCCCTCTCCGTCCTCCTCATCAAAGTCCATCCTGAAACAAGAACACAAATAGACTTGCTCACAAATGGTTTTGAAAGACTTAAACTACTTCAGTCTGTGTGCATTGAATTTATTTAATACACGAGTTTCGCAATTTGAGTTGAATACTGAAATTGAATTACTGAAATTACTGAAATAAATGAAATTTTCCACGATATTCTAATTTATTGAGATGCACCTGTAAGCAGAGCTGTTTTTTTGTTAGATATCCATTATAGTATGATATATATATATTTATATAAATCATAATGAACTTGAAAAGAGAAGCTAATTAACAAACTACAACATCGTAAACAGAAAAGCCAATCAAACAAAATACAGATAACAGAAACCAATCATAAAACACAACTTGGAAAAAACAAAGCATAGAAAGCAGATTATTACAGTCAGTACCACTGAAATGTTTACAGTCTGTTACATAAAATATGGTCAGCATACTTGTAGATACTATGCTGCCAAATATCAGAAAGTACAACAAGGTTCTAGAAGCATATTTTACTTGATTTCTGATGTGAAGGACATTAGTTTTCATTAGTGATGAAATAAAAACGGACAGAGTTTTATAGAGGTTTTACAAAGTAGCAGAACAGAACCTCTCTGCCGTTGTTGAGTGGGCAGGTGAACAGTTTTCTCCATGGAAACCTCATATTCGTGGACAATATTTATGTGCACTGCTAAAAAAGCAGCACTTTAGAAGGACGGTCATGAAACAGAGTGTTTCCACAGTAGGAGTATTCAATTTAAATTGAGGCTTAATAGGCAAAAAATTGGGCACTTCTTAATTATATATTTGAGATCACTGGCCAGGCCATACTTGGAATTATATATATATATATATATAAATAATTAGAAAAAAAACAATGCAATAGTGGTGTAACGATATTCAAACCGAACCGAAAAACCTACACCACCCACAGTATGTACATACCGTGATACTCTCTTGGCCTACCTATTGTGACCCCGCTGACACACTTCAATAAAACAATAACAATAAAATACAATACCAATATAATAACTATAAAATACAATAAAAACTATAACTATATATTAGGGGTGTAACGGTACACGTATTCGTACCGAACCGTTTCGGTACGGGTCTTTCGGTTCGGTACGCATGTGAACCGAACGAATACAGTTTTTTTTTTCCCTCCGGAAATTCAAATAATAAATGGCATTTTGACAGTCTTTGATGTGGCATGACAGATCGCTGTATAAACACCTTGGAGAGCCGCTTCTGGGACGGTTCAGAAACGTGCTGGTATATAATCCCAACACAAGCACTGACTAGAGCGGACGCGATCAGCTCCGGTTCCCATGTCTGAGCCGTGACGCCCTGCAGATTTGTGCAGAGCGGAGCGCGAGTGAACGCGGTCATTCCTTCCTCTGTACTACTAGTTTTAACGCGAATAAACATGACTGAACATCTCATGCCTTATGTAATTGCTCAATCAGTGTTTCAACCGCGGAAAGACATCAACAATACAGCGTGGAAATAAAATGTCACGTAGCATTTAATTTACCTCAGCAAGTCATCAGTGTCCACAGCTCGTTAGTTCACTAGAGAAAT